TGCTCATTCTCTCATTAAGAGTAGAAGAAAAATGTGAACTTTAAGAGAAACTAACATACACATGTACATATATATATGTACATACATAAATACGAAGGTATTAGGAGAGTGAATATGAATAATCTAAAAGTACTCAAACAAAAGGTTTGCATATTGAGGCATTTTACAGCCTAAAAATTAGCTCTTATTTATGACCCCTTTAAGGGGTTTATGTTTATTTAAAAAAGGATACTTCCATTCCACGATGCGAATGCAAAGCGCGCGTATAGGATTCTTGAGGCCCAGGCAGAAGAGCGCTCTTTGTGGTCGATCCGGCTGTGGCTTGCCGCGTCGCTGCGGACGCTTTTGGCCGGCGGCGCCAGCTTTTTGTCCAGCGCCACCGCTGGGTCCGATTGTGGTGCCGTTCATAGTTTCCGGAATGTTTGCAATGCCCATGGAATCGATGCCTGTACAGGTGGTAGGCAGCAGGTGTGCGGGGGCAGGTGATGGGGCATTAATAGCGATAGTTAGCGGCTCAAAGAGCGAATTAGTGAGATGCTGAGGAACTGGTGAACTTACCCATTATGTTGTTGCCGCCACCCATGTCCGCTTGCGGATTATGGGCATTGGACATGTCGCCGCCAACGGCAGCGCCTCCATTGCCATTGGGCGTGAAGGTGCCGCCGCCAGCGGCGCCTCGCTCAAAGTCCATGATGTTGAAATATTTACCGGCTCCGCCGCCGAAATTATCGATCAGCTCCGCGGAGCTGGAGTAGAAGGGTGAGAATGCTTGGGTGTCGTCCTCCTCCTCTTCGTAATACTCGTCAGCCTCCTCGTCGTCGTCGTCGTCGACCTCCTCCTCGTCGTCCTCCTCGTCGTCTTCGTCGTCGTGATGCTGATAGTCGTGTTGCTGCTGTGCCAGCTGCTCCTGATCATCAATATCAATGGTTGTGCCCTCGGGCTCGTCTTCTTCGTCGTAGTCGTAGTCGTCGTCGTCCTCGTCGTCGGTTATCTCAGCGCCGTCGTCGTCCTCCTCGGTTATTCTGCATGTCCTCCGTATGGAGGGCCGTTGGTTGCGTGTATTCCTCCTTACAATGACATCCGCATTGTCATCGACATCGCCAACATCTTCGAGCGAATCGTTTCCACTGCGCACAGCACCTGCAATAATTCGAATCTCATCGTCCGCATCATCATCCGCATCCTGTCGCCGCTCACTGATGCTCTCACAATCGGTATTACCGCCGCCAGCAGATCCTGCTGTGGCTGTGGCTGAGCCAGCTGCTTCCTGCTGCTCCTTGGCTGCTGCCGCAACGGCGGCAACAATTGCCGCTGTCCGTAAAGTCTGCGAACTGACGTCAGCTGCGTCCGGATTGTTCGGATCGTCGTCGTCGTCCTCCTCACAGTCGTCGTCGCCTATAAAGCTGCTGATGTCGCCAACACCAAAGCCATGCAAGGTGCTGTTGTCGCCGGTGATGTCGCAGTTGCAACTGTTGCTGCTGCTGCTGTCGCCGCCCACAGCACTGTAGCTGCTCTCCTCGTCCCGGGCGCCGCTGCTGTAGCTGCTGTTGGTGCTGCCGGCGCTGGTCACACTATTCTGCGGCTGCTGCTGCCAGCCAAGTGCCGCTGCCGCTGCTGCTGCCGACTGCGCTGCTGCTGTCGCTGCTGCCGCCGACTGCGCTGCTGCTGTTGCTGCGGCTGCTGCTGCTGCTACTGATGTTGCCGCCTCCTCCGGCGTGAGACGTTGACTGGCGGTGCCGCCGCACGAATTGCAGCTGGACTTGCGTCGCTGCCGTTTGCTGCCGCCGTTCGCCGAGTTCGCTTCGCTGCCGTTGTTGTTATTGTTGTTGTTGTTGTTTTTGTGTCGACGCTGCTTGAAGTCAAGCTTATAGGTCGTATTGTTGACAATTTGGCTAGTGACCGTGCTCAGCGCTAGCTCGGTATTGTTGGCAGCCGCACGAATCCTACTGGAGCTGCTCGCTGGGGCCTCCTCGCTGAACGCAATTACCTCGCGGGGACTGCAGCTGTGGTGTCAATTGGGATAGAGCAAAGCATAATGTACTTTAGTTTAATGTTTATAATATATGTATGTATATATTTATACTCAAACTAAATACTCATTGGATGCAGTTGCTAAACAAAAGATTTTTACTAGAAAGTTTACAACGATTCGGCGAGAGGAATCACAATACATATAAAATACTTGTTGGCACGGGCTGATGACGATCCCAAATACCTTTCGATATTTAAAGTATAATACATTTTTGTTTTTATATAATGTATTCTCAATACATATTTTCTATACCAAAATTATGCTCAACATATATTTCGGCTGGCTGTCAGTTTAGAAAGTGTTTATATTACAATTAAGAGACCGCTTTTCAAATTATATTCGAAAAGAATTTGTAGCTCTTAAAGACTTTTCGATATTGAGGCTGTTAATGAATCATTTCGAATATCCCCATTCTCTTTGCTGATTCACAAAATAATAGCCATGCAATAGAGGACAGTAATTGT